ATTTGGCAGAGAAAAAGTAATTTCACTTTTCTCCGGTAGATGGCACGGCAGGGTATCAGTGTGCTACACACATGTAAAGAGTATGTAGCCACGCCTCTTGCCGTCGACTCCCTCGCACTCATGCTCATACCCTATCACGATCTCTTGCTTACATTCACCTGCTTGCAACATTGGACGTGATAGTGCGTACTCGCTCGCATTAACGCATTTCTAATGTTTGGAATGATAATGCCAATGATAATGATAACGCTCATAATGCCAAGTCCTCCGCGTGAGCGATGAATGTCAAAAGACGCGCGATCATAGCAAGGGGCGGAGGTAATAATTTATCGGTGTGTTTGTTTACATCGATACAAGCAGCGCTCGCAGTGGCTGGAGTAATCACTAACAGATTACCCCAACGTTTTGTGCCAAATCCTCCCATAAGGCCTACGCTTCCATGTAATATGTGTTCTCTGTTACGACTGATTACGACTCTCGTCTTTTCTGTTATGATTGTTACATTTATAAGGACATTAAATTTGTAGAAAATTAGTTTCATTGTGGCTTTTGCCAAAGCTTGAAAGAAAGTATGGATTTCAATGAACAGAGTGCATTTGAAATGCTGAATATACTTCACAAAGGACATACTCTGGAAAAATGCAGAATATTAACCTACATTCGCAGGTAAATCAAATTATAGTTATACTATATATAGCTAACCATATGTAACTCATACTTATGTATATGTAATATATATACTTATAAATATGAGTTATAAATGCATCTAAAGGGTAGATTAGGGACAGCATAAAAATGGTTTCAATTACACTACAATCTACAATGGTTTTTATAAAAAATTGGTATGTAGCAATGCCATTCTATGGTATCTTAATCTACCGTAGTAATTAATAAGCCTATCACAGCTTCAAGTGTCTAATATTGAAAAAATTGTTGGAAAACAATCTTTTAAACATTTATACACATACATACACACAAAAAAGTTACATTTATTCTATAAATAAATTTTGTTTATTTACTTATGTATAAACTTATAACTTGCAGTAATATGGATAGATTTAAAGCAACAGAGGCTCTCACAGATGATCAATATGGAGAACTTTGTGAATTGATAATTATTTTATTAACAAGTGATGATCAAGTATTATCTTCTAATGCTGGTATTACATTGAATAATATTCTTTGTACACTGGAAACGCACAGTCTGCATTTTTTTCAAGCTGTTTTGCAATTAGATAGAAAAAACAGGTGAGTTAAAATATAAATAAATTTGAAACAGCTGTGAAATAATATTGTCATCCACTGTTATGATGTAGGTTAAGGATTTTTCAATTCTTGGAAGATGTTCAAGATAGTATTCTACTGACAGTAGTAAATGATATAATGGTTATTCCATTCTTTCATGATTGTATGTACAGTATCCAATCTGACATCATGGAATGGATAACAGAAAATATATCAACAGATAACTTTCAAATATTAACAGATGCTGAAAATAAAGAATTGTCTTATGTTGAACAAATTGAAGAAAGGATAATTAATTATGCACTTAATATGCTACAAAGACTATATAAACTATCCACTCCTGCATCTAATTGGGATGTCCATCAGGTAGCATTATTTGATTATTAGAAAGTAGCTTCCCGCGTATACCAAATCAATACAAGATGGATAACTCAAACAACTAGGTCCCTTATTACACTAGGTCCCCATGTGACTGTTTTATTGGATAACTTTATCGACATGACTGAATCTGACCAATGAGGGATTTGGTTTTCCAAGTTATCAGTCTTGTAGTACTAGATGGTTTGTTGTGGGAACTTACCTTATAGCTAGGTATATAGAAATATGATTATTTATTACACATAACATATCTTATTACGTTTTTCTTTTCAGTTTGATTCGTTGTTAATGAGTAAAGTAATAACTTTAGCATATATGGGTCATAAACGTCAACGAAGATCAGCAATAAGACTTTTACAGCAAGCAGTAGAAACTGATTTAGGAAGTAACATACGTAACAATTTTTTAGATATATGGCAAAGGTATAAAACAATGTTACAAAGTGTGTATTGCAAACGTATTGCTCTTTTGGTGGAAGTATCTGATCCAGATTGGGCTAGTTTGTGGAATATTAGTGTACAGTTACTTGGCACTGATCTTCATCATGGTGCTAATTTAATCAATAATTTACTTAGTGTGGAGGAAAAGGCTTTTAAATCTACTGATACTATCATTCGTAGGTGAATATCTTAAAATATATCATTTACACACAATATATTTTATATATACTAATTTTTACTTTGTATATTTATATAGGCAAGCTTTTGGATCATGGAAAATATTAATTGATAACTTTGCTCTAGATCTACAAGAGCTTGCAACTGCAAGAAGAATAAAACTTCTTTGTATTCCTTTAAACGCTAAAAATAGTAAAACTGAATTGATAACTATTACGAAATTAGAAGTTTGGTGGCATTTAATTGTTAAACTGTACAATGATCTTTCAAAATTTGTTAATTCTGTATTAGTACCATTTCTGAACTTTGCATTTGGACCATTTGGAGATACCCTATTACTTTCTCATAAATTGAATACAATCGCTTCTGCTGGAAAAAGATTTGTAAAGACAAACGTTCTTGCCATTGATATTCTGCTACAATTGCTAACTCCGACAGCGAAAGAATGTCAAATAATTGTTCCTACGTTAACGGAAAGACTTCTCCATGGCATTCCGAATTCAATTTTTCGGCAAAGCTACAAAAGTTTTATTCATAGTGTAGGCGAAGCTTCAATTATAGTCAACGACTTAAGCAATATGGATGTTGAAAGAAAACAAAACATTATTACGGCACTGTGGGCAAATTTGATACATCATGTCAAGGAACTTGACACGGACTTCCAGGTCTGTTACATTGCACAATTTGTAAACAATATTTCCACATATATACATAATATATATATTTACAGGCTTCGGCGTACAATGACATTATATTAATTTTGATGGAAATAGATGACCACGTTTCCAATAAACAGAACATACAAAGTTTGCTTGTCAATATAATTGTGCCTAATGTCAGCAGCAATTCTACTAATTATATTTTTGCAACTAGTAAATTCATAAATTTTATGTTGAAGCTTCTAACTCCAGAAACATTCTTAAAAACTGACAAGTATGTATTACTTTTATTGGTGTAAACTAAACAATAAATTGGAGTGATAAGTAAGGAAAAATAGTATATGTATAGTTCAATCAAAACGAGCGTAAAAATATACAATATATTTAGTATAATCATTTAAAACATAATAATTATTAGTATAGTCAAATTGACAAAAAACAATCTATTAGGTGGACCGGAAAGTAATGTCGTTTTTTTTTTTTCATTAAATTCAATGCGCAGAAACAACATTACATTTCGGTCCACCTAATATATAATTTGTAACGCAAATTTTATAATTATAAATTTTTTAGAGAACCAATTTTGTATACTATTTTGTTGTTTAAACATTCACACCATTGATTTGATTTGAATGTTCAGAGTTTGTTTTGTTTATCAAAGAATACCTTATAAATTCACTTAATCAAATTTTTCGTTTAACTTTTCACTTATTCACAATTCCTGTTTATTTAGTCACTTCAAGTCTTTTTGTAAATAAATAGCACTCTTAAAAATATATCCGACTAAAAATTAAATTTAGTAAGTGTTTACCAACAAAACGTTTGTACTAAAATTACATCAATTATTGCAATTTAATGGCCATTATAAATATTCTGCATCAATTCAATCCATTAATTCTGATAAAAAATATTTGTTAATAGAATTCATTGAAATTTACATAATTCGCAATCGGTTTTTGGTGCATTTCTACTTAGTATCATATGAAAAAGAATTCGTTAAAATATATAATCTGAAGTATTTAATTTTTTGTAAAAATGTATACATTATGCATGAATATCCTGATGTTCAAATGATTTAAATATATATGTAGCTGACTTTCATATGATGATGAATGACATTTTGGTTTTTTCTCATATTTGTAGTATTAAAAATGTATTATATAAGTTTTGTCCTTCTTATATAATTTTTACGAAATATGAAGTAATATCGAAGACAATTTTTATGTATAAATTGCTATTTACGAATTATATACACTGTTTATCGTCATTATTTTACTTCACATAATAGATAAACAATTCGTCATGTGCTTATCACAAAAAGGATGAATAGTGTGTAGTTATTGTTATTTAGGCAGATCCTGCTATCTTAATTATATTAATGTAGATGGAAATATCTTGTTAAAGGAAACACTATGAAGCGATTAAACAACTGTTGTGGCAAGGTATAAAATCAAATACTTTATTACCGGACAAACCTAATACGCTTGAAAGTATCAAAACAATTCACGATAAAATAGTTTCCTTAAAATTGGAGGCGTCTAACAGGTGTGTATGATTATATACTTTCTAAGTTGCTAAAATGTCAGTACAACTTACAGCATGATCATGTTTTCTAGCTTTGGCATATCAGAATTATGGTGTGCACTAGCTGATGTTTTATCGCATTATGTTACGGATTCTCAATTTCACCAAGGCAATGTCGAGGAACATGCTTTCACAATAATAGAAAGTATACTCAATTTTCCATTCTCGTATATTGTCTTAAATGATCACACTCAGGTTAGTACAATAAACAAAATGATTTTTTAGTTCAGTACCCACATAGAAGGAGCTCACAGGAACTACGAGGTGGTTTTCGAATTCATCCTTTGGTAAACTTGCTAGAAACACACTCGCAGCTCTGTGTTCTCTCTCGTACTAATAGGTAAATGTGTATATAACTAACTGTTTCTAAGAGTGCGCTTAAAGCAAGTTTCCCAACGACACCTGTGTCTTTCCCCAAGTCACATTTTTTCTTCTAACATCTATAAGTTATTTCCGCCTGATTTTCTGGTAATCAGCGTAAATGAAGTTCTTCATTATTTTGCATGAGATGTCTTGAATACTATACAATAACGTCCAATTGAAGTAGAACACTTGAATTTTTGTGTATTTCTGTGAGACTATGACCGATTTCGAAGAACCAAAGACATATTTTTTAGGAAATTTCCTTCCCGTTCAAATGGTAAAGGTTTCATCCCGATCGGATACAAAGTGGCCGAACGGCAGGGGTTGGAGTGAAATAGTGCATTTTGGGACTTTTTGAAAAGTGCGAGATCTAGTAGTTTCGCAAAGAAAGTCATATTTCTAATTATAGCACGAGAGACAGCATCCTTCGGCATTAAAAAAACACCTCCAATGAATCCCTGTAGCATCACTCTAGGATAAGCTACACCCCTTGAAGTGAAAATACTTAGGTTTCATCCCGATCGGATACAAAGCTATGACCGATTTCGAAGAACCAAAGACATATTTTTTAGGAAATTTCCTTCCCGTTCAAATGGTAAAGGTTTCATCCCGATCGGATACAAAGTGGCCGAACGGCAGGGGTTGGAGTGAAATAGTGCATTTTGGGACTTTTTGAAAAGTGCGAGATCTAGTAGTTTCGCAAAGAAAGTCATATTTCTAATTATAGCACGAGAGACAGCATCCTTCGGCATTAAAAAAACACCTCCAATGAATCCCTGTAGCATCACTCTAGGATAAGCTACACCCCTTGAAGTGAAAATACTTAATTGTCCATAACTTCCGAATGCGCCGACCAATTTGGTTCAGTTTCTGCGTGATATCTTTAACGATACTGCAGATACTCACAAAATTATTGTTTTCGAAGACGATCCCATGACGGAGATCTTGAGATATCGCAAGCGCACCCGAAGCTTCTCCGCCATCTTTTATTAGGAATGCGATGAAATAGAAGTTTCATATTTGTTCCACTTTATTAAAACATGCTTTTAAACATCCAAAAATGTGTTTGTTAAGTGATTAAATTTGTCTTTGAAAAAACGTCTAAATTTTGCGAGTTTCACTATAGGTACTCGGGTGATTACTACCCTGCCACGCGCGCCAAGCGATTGTCACTCGAGTACCGCGAGCGAAATTCGCAAAATTCAAGTGTTTTTTCAAAAGAAACATTTAACCCCTAACAAACTCATTTTTGGATGTTTAAAAGCGCGTTTTAATCGTTGCAATTTCAGCTACAACGTGGAATAAATATGAAACTTCTATTTCATCGCATTCCTAATAAAAAATGACGGGGAAGCTTCGGTTTTTAACAATGAGATATCCTACCGTCGACTCGTCCTCGAGACGTAACGCGGCAGTTTCAAAAACGCTCCTTTCGTTCCTAGTCCATTTCACGCATTCCATAGTCACTCACACCGCACTCTTACATTTTTTGCAAATAACAATAACTTTTCGAGTAGTAACGCTTAATATTATGAACGATCAATATAATTAACGTATGACATACTTAACGGTGAACATATTTATCACTTAACGTCTATAGGTTTAACTCTTAATGCAGTTATAATTGGGCCAGAGCGCATTTTCTGGGCCTTCCGGGACTATTTGGTCGTTTTGTATCAGGCGTCGCGATCACGCACGGTGAATTATCGCATTGTTTCAGATCATCGTTACGTTTCGCTCGGTAATACCTTTCTCATGTATCTTCGTTCGTTTATTTTTTCTTTACGGGGTCGTTATCGCTATGCTTGCCGTTTTCGATGATTCTTGGCCCGCTTTTCCTTCCTGTTTTTCTTCCGATTCTTTTCTCGCATCTCACCGTGTTTTGTACTCGGTTGGACCCCGTACACGGAGAGAAGGATCTGGTAGAAGTTGCTAAGCCATGAAAGTAAAATCTACCAAGGTAGCATGGTACAGCAGCGCTACCAAAGGACATATTGGAAGTCTTCCAAGTACCATAGGAATTTTTACCGAACCAAAATAGGAATTTTTCCGTAACATAATTTTTTGTTCCTTCCCGTAGACAATGTAGACAAACAATTAAGTATTTTATGAGTTAATTACTATTCGAGAGGAAACAAGTATAATATCCCATTCAAACAAATATTTTCTCTGAAATAGTAATTAACGGCGTGTTTCGTATACGATTGAGGTTAAGAGGTTAGAATTTCCAAATGTCAATACTTATCGATATAATACTACTAATAATAATCTTGTGTTAAATTCTGATATTATACAATATGATATTATTGTTAATACTTACATTCATAGATAGAATTTCAATAAATTGTTAATCGTTTGAGTCCCAAGCAGCGCGATCGCGCTGTTCAGATTTTATGTCGAGAAAACCCAGCAAATTTCGAGCATTGTGGACAACTGACGGTGCGTTACGGATTGTCGAAGTCGAGCGCTCAGATTTACTGACGCAAGTACATCGCACAGCTCCTTTTAACGTAAATAGTACATTTTACAATAGGTAGAATAGTACTATAATGATGCAATAATACATTACAAAATTTTTATTTTGTTATCTTCTCAATAATTTTTATTGAACAAACTTGAAATATTTATTAACAAACAATTTAAGTAGCGAATAACACTTATAATTTGTAACATTGGTGTTTATCAAAACATACTGGGTGAACTCCTTTTCTACATCGCGCGTAAATTAAATGTGATCTTTTTATTACATTTTTGGTGCTGCAGACTACGCATTGTCACAAGTTACGGTGTAGCAACTTTACTAATCTAAATGTTTTTTCTTTTATATGCCTGTGTGATTGCTTTTCGTTTATCCACTGACACTCAATTTCAAAAATAATATTTGACATAAAATCTAACCGAGATATTGCTTTGCACTTCACTATTTCCTTGCAGATTATATACGCATTTAAAACCATGCGGTTGATTATGTTAAAGGCCACCTTTTTCCAATATTTAAGTGATCTTCGTTCATCGAGATAGGTATACACCATTTTATCGGAATCATCGACACCACCCATGAAGGTATTATAAGATTGAATAATACCGGGTTTTGTGGAACGTATTTCTCTGCCATGTCGATTTTTCGTTATAGTTACATCTTGCTTTTCTGCTTTCGTCGAAATTAGTAACACAGGTTTTTTTACAATCTTTTTTTCGCGATACGCACAGAACAATATTTCATTGTTTCGAAAATATTTTACCTCGTTAACGTTAGTTTGTTTCAAGTTATCGGGAATACATTTCTTATTCCTTCTAATTGTTCCAGTTAAAAAGGTGTCCATAGAATATAAATAGCGAGCTAATTCTACGCTAGTAAAAAAGTTGTCGACAAAAATGTGATGCCCCTTATTCAAACAATTACTATCTTTTAGTAAATTCGCCACGACATCGTACCCAAGTCCAAACTTTGTTCTATCACTAGAAATTGTTTCTTTTGCACCTTTATAGCAAGAGAACGCTAAACAATATGTCGAAACGGAGTCACACAGCATCCAGAATTTTATTCCCCAACGATGATGCTTTTTATTTGGTAAATATTGCATTATGCTAGAGTGACAGCGTCCCAACTAGCGACTCATCAATTGATGATTCTTTGTGTGGTGTATAATGTAATTTGAATACCTGTTTAGCATGTTCAACCAGTGGCTTAAATGCACAGGGATCGTATTTCGCCTGAACAGGTGGAAAACATAAAGAATCATCTACTAAGTGGAAATATTTTAAAATATGTTGAAATCTATTTCGAGAAAACATTCTTCGAAACCACGGTATGTTACGGAAATTTTCAGACCTATATGAACGTATATTAGGTTTTAGGCTATAAATGCCTTCATTTCTAAAACGGTAACGGGTGTTCAAATCTCTGTTTCAAAGGATTCTAATTCTCTAAGTGAATGCCTTGAATACTCCGCATATTTATTCATTTCTTCAACTATTAGTTCCCATAGTGTCGAATCAAAGAATAGTTCGAAAAATTCAATCGGTTTACTCTGACTAGGGAAGTTAGATCGTGAATCAGATTCTTCTCTAGGCTCCAGAGAATCACGTTGATTCGAAACGTCTTCAGCAACCGGTAGACTGTTGAATGAACATTGATGCTATAAATCAGTATCGGTATCCTCCGAAATGCTCAAAATGCGTTTTCTTTTGCGCTTTACCGGAACAATGCAGTCATCATCGACGATAATATGATTACATGGATTTGTGTTTGTGCTTATAGATTTTCTTTTTCGATTCATTATACCTTTTTGGGGATGCACAAAATTTAGAAAAGTTAAACAGTAAATTTAGATTAATTTTTCACTTACTTTTTGCGTTGCTTCGTCTAATCATTTTAAAACACACAATTATTAATAATGAAAAGAATTATTAACTGAAGAATACAGAAGAATACGTCCGATCACTTTGCAAACTGCAATAGATGTGACGGAGCGATGAAAAAAATACGAGAATCGCGTTACCTACCACATACGAGAAGCGCTATCGCGCCGCTTGGTATTTCTCGACATAAAATTAAACAATCGCTATCGCGCTGCTTGGGTATTTTCGTACATATACAGGGTGTTCGTTATGAAACACACTGTAGTAACATCGTTGCATTCTTTGTCAAATTCTAATGAATACGTATATTTTCAGTTTTTATTTCATATATCAAAATTTTGAGATAATTAAGGTTGAAGTTGCAGTAATGCGACCAATCAGAGCGCGGTTAAACGGAGCGTAGATGACGTCGCGAGTCAGCCCGCAAGACCTGCTTACACTAGGCCAATAACACTAAGAGTATCGTCGTA